CCCAAATGCTGTACTTATCCACTAGTGAAAATGATACTCTGATGCAGGTCTTATAGGGGTATGAGTTGGGTGGAAGTGCATTGGTTACTCCTCCATGAAGGAGAAAGAAAGAGACCTTGAGTTCACTTGGACTTAAAATCGAACAAAACTTTGGGCAAACATTTGGGACTTCCTTCAAAATCATCAACCCAGGGAAGGGATGATGGCAGGTTTTGTACTAGCTCTTCAGCTGTGTCCTACACTTATGCAATACGTAATTGTGCCGTCCAATTTGAGGTTCTGCTGGAGGGGTTATTTTGTATTTTAAGAAACTACCTGACATTGCAAAGATGTGTACCACCTTGGCCTCTAATGACAGGGCCCAAGAAGAAATTTACTTTGCATTGAAATAATTGAATCATTGAAAACATACAAGGGCACTCAGAGGAGCAGAGGCTGCACCTAAGTGGCTCTAGGCTGCTCGGTGCTACATTGCCCTTTGCTCCTTCTCATCAGGTAGGATGAGAACCGATGTACTGCTGACCAAGGCCCAGAACAGCAAAAATACTAACCAGCAGCACCAACTGCTAATCAGCAGCACCAACTGCTTGCTATCCAGAAGCCTCAACTGCTAACCAGCTGCTCCAAATGCTATCTAGCAGTTCCAGCTGCAATACAGCAGTTCCAAGTGCAATCCAGCAGCCCCAAGTACTATCCAGCAGCTCCAGCTGCTATCAGCCAGCTCCAATTGCTATACAGCATTTACAACGGCTATCGAGCATCCCCAACTGCTATCCAGCTGCGCCAACTGCTATCCAGCAGCCCCAACGGCTATCCAGCATTTACAACTGCTAACCAGTTGTTCCAAATGCTAACCAGCAGCTCCAGCTGCTATCCAGCTGCTCCAAATGCTAACCAGCAACCTCAAGTGCAATCCAGCAGCGCCAACTGCTATCCAGCTGCACCAACTGCTATCCAGCAGCTCCCACTGCTATCAGGCAGCCCAAATTGCTATCCAGCATTTACAACAGCTATCCAGCTGCCCCAACAGCTATCCAGCAGTTCCAACTGCTATCTGGCAGCTCCACCTGCTAACCAGCCTTGCCAGCTGCTAACCAGCAGCTCCGACTGCAGACCAGCAGTGTTGACTGCCAAACATCTGCCTGCTGCCCATGATGGCATCTGCATGGCCCCGGTCCTGCCCCCTCTGCCGCCCTCCTTGTCAGTGGCTCCACGTCACCCAGTTGTGTGGTGTTAGCACCTCTTCAGTTGAATTCAGGAGTCTCCCTGCCCCTCAGCCTGTCTCAGGGGCTTTAGCACAGCTTGCCTCAGCAACACTCCTTAGACGTGGGCTGAAGGCAGACTGGGCCGGTATCATAAAAAACATCTGTCATGGAATTATCTCTAGATCTGTTTCCGTGACAGGGGGTACGGGACCAGAAAAAAAAAAAAAAAAAAAAAAAAAAAAAAAAAAGGGGAAAAAAAAGTGTTAATGGTTTACAGTCCAGTCCAGCCTGACCCCTTGAGTAATTAGGCAGGGGACTTGCAGGTCTGTGCCCCGGGAGAGGGGAAAAGGAGGAAGTGTAGGGACATAGTAGATGGGTCTAAAAACAGAGCAACAGCAGTGATTGAGTAGGAACATTCATTTACTAAATACGATCTCAGAATGCGAGATAATAAAATACAACACAGTACAATTGGAATAGAAACCAACATCACAACAAAATGAGAGCAAGAAGTGTCCAAAACCGAGGCCTTACTCTATCACTGCAGGCAAAAGCAGCCAGACAGCATGTGCTCCTCCGCAGCAAAGAGGCAGAGACATGTGACCTGCCAGGAGCTCCACCTTTCTTCCTCTGGGCACGAAGTCCTCTGGTGAATGCCACTCCTCCCCTCCCCTTCAACAAAAAAGGCAGTTCACAGAACCAGAATGTGAACTCTTTAACTCCCCCTGCCTTACGTGATGTTATGCTGTGAAATACTGACAAAAAAATATCACAAAACTATGATACACCTGTCTGCTGCTGTTTTGTCTTCACCTGTGGAACTGTGCCTCTGCTGGGTGTTAGGCAGTAATTCCGCCTTGTTGGCGAGGCCATCAGGTGTGCCTAAGCGATGTGGGGGGCAAGGAATGCAGCACCTCTTGGCCTGAGGAGCTCCATCCCTCACCTCTGCTCTGCAGAGTGTTTGCTCTGTGCCAGTGGTCAGCAGTGTGGCTGCTCTCAGCCCTTCTTCACATCTATAAGCATTCTGATCATTTTCCTACACACCAGGATGCTCAGAGGTTGGGTGTCAGTGGGCTCTATGGTGTGCTGTAACACAGCAGCTGCTCAGGCCCACACCATCCTTTGATCAGACTACCAAAGAGGGATGAGGGAGAGAATTGGAAATGAATTGAACAGGTGGGTAGAAATAAAAAATATCTGCAAAGACGGAAGACAAAAAAGGAAACCAAAACACAATAATAACACTATGTAGAGCCACAGTGCAATTATTAAACATTTTCAGCAACACACAGCAATAAACAGTGTGCGTTTCTTCACAGCCTAACCAAACCTTACCTACCCAAATTTATCCCCCACCTGGAACAGTAATGAGTCATAGGCTTTTATTAAATACTTATTAATTATAAAAAGTAGCCAGTGCATCTTTGCAAGCTTTGTCACAGTGGCAAGGGAGCAGCAGCATCCACCATGTTGCTGCTGTGTCATGGCGGTGCAGTGGCAGCAGCCATGTGGCTGTGGTGTCACTATTGTTCCATGGTAGGCACCATTACTCTAAGGCAGGAGAGCTCAGGGCAGCTGCTTGTCAAAGAACCAAACCCTCTAGATGCCTCTTCCCAGTGTTTATGTTTCCTCAGACACTGAGCAGAAATAAAGGCAGAAGCAAAGTAAATAAAGGGCCCATTTTGGCCCAATTTTGGCCTCTCTTACTTACCCAGTGGTGAAAATCATACTCTGATATGCTTACAGGGGAGGAAGGTGGGAAGGAAGAGCATTGGTTATATCTACTTGAAGGGGAAAGAGAGACCTTGAGTTCACTTGGAATTAAAAAAAAAAAAAAGGATAAATAGTTGGGAATTCCTTCAAAATCCTCATCCCAGAGAAGGGATGATGGTAAATTTTGTAGTAGCTCTTCACTCATGCCCTGCGCTTCTGCCATATGCTGTGGTACTTTCCAACATAAGGTTTTACTCAAAGGGTCATTCTAATGCTGTAAGCATCACAAAGCTACAAGAGGTTCTGCAGAGATACATCAGAAGCATTTGATGTTCATAGACAAAGAACTGTATGGATCCTGGGGTCTTCTAGTTATCTTGAGTAAAGAACTGGAACCCCTCAGAACAGTCAGCACTTGATGCTTCCTGTGGATGTGGGCAGCATGTAGTGACCAAACTGAAATAGAGAACTGGATGTGTGGGATCTGTCTCCTCAAATGCCCTCAAATGGATTTTCCTTCAAATCAGTGTGTTTCTACAGAAATGTTTGATTATGTGTTTCAGTCAAGCCCGTTATTCTGGACTCTCAGTAGACATGGAATGCATCTCGCTTAGGTCAGTGCAGAATTGAGAGAAGTAGTACAGATACAGTGCAGTGATTGCCTCCAGGATCTCATGGAGAACTCCACTGGTGTTTCTTCACGTTTTCACTACTGGTGTCCTGAAATTTTTGATATCCACACATGGAAAACAGATTCTAAGCTTCCATGCTGCAAATAATGTCTTTGAGTTAATCCATTTGGAAGGAAACTGTCTCTCTTTTATTTCTCAAAATATATGGCTCTGATAGCAGTGGGAAAAGGGAGAATGGCTTTAAGCTAAAAGGGTGAACTTAGGCAAGATGTTAGAAGGAGGTTCTTTGCTCAGAGACTGGCAAGGCACTGGCATGGACTTCTCAGAGAAGTTGTGAATGCCCTGTCCCTGGAGGTGTTCAAGTCTAGGTTGGATGGGCCCCTGGGCAGCCTGGTCTCGTGAGTGGCAGCCCTGCTTGCAGGGGGATTGAAGTTTTATAATCTTTAGGGTCCTTTCCAACCTAAGCCTTTCCATGATTCTATGAAATATACACAGTAAACATAATTGAATTTCTCTTTACAGGGAAAAAAAAACCTTTGCACCCCTGTTCCCTCACGAGAGTCACCAGTGCCACAGTCAAAATTCTCCCACCCACTGCCACTTCTCCCTGGGCAGACCACTAACCCTGCACCTTCTCTGTTGACAAGCAGCAGGTCCAGGAACATACTTCCCCTTGCTGGCTCCCTCACCATCTGTGTCAGGAAGTTGTCTCCCACACACTCTAGGAACCTCCAGGACTGTTCCCTTTCTGCTGTATTGTGTTTCCAGCAGACGTCTGGGAAGTTGAAGTCCCCCACAAGAACAAGATTAGAGACTGCGAGACCTCATCCAGTTGTCTATAAAGTATCTTATCCACCTCTTCATCCTCGTTGGGTGGCCTGTAGCAGACTCCCACAATACTCAGTCTTACTGGCCTTCCCCTTGATGGTAACCCATAAGCTCTCAACCCTATCATCCCCGTTATTAATTCCCAAACAGTAGTGGAAATGCTAAGTCACGGCCTGAACTAGTGATCAAGCATCTGGTGAGAAGGCAGAGCCAACCCAGGGGAGCTCAGGTGCATGCAGTGTACCTGAGTGACTGGAAGGTGTGGAGTCAGGATCCACCCCTTCCCAGACCTGATTTAAGGGTTGGCAGTGAAGGTGAGGGTACCTTCTGCTGGAGGTTTCTGTCTACCTGGGGTCTTCTAAAGGTAAGCAGCTCTTTTCCTTTGTTTCTGCATCTGTGGCTGTTGCACTTGAGCTTATTCTCATTTGCTGCAACGGAAGACTTTGCCACTCTGCTCTTATTGTGGTACTTTCCATCCTGTTATAGCATTACACAGGCATTCATGTTTTTTTTCCTCAACATAGAGGGCTGCATCACTGCCTTTCCTGCCTTGCCTATCTCTTTTGAAAATTTAGTAGCCATCCATCACAGCACTCCAGCTGTTTGAGTCATCCCAGTATGTTTCTGTGATGGTGACTATATCATCATTTTCTGACCATACAGTGGCCTCAATCTCCTCCTGTTTGTTACCCATGCTGCATGCATTCGTGTAAATGCACCTCAGCTAGGCTGCATTTTTGGGTGCAAGAAACCCTCATACCCTCTTTTTGTCCATACTCAGATTTATGTTTATGGAAACAACCTCACACCAACCCTTCTGTTCTTCCTGCAAAATGGTATGTCATTCTCCTCCACCAAGACGCAAGAAATCTTGCTAGGGCATTCCTCTCCCTCACCAAACCGTTCTATGGTTCTGAACACCAATTTGCAGCCAGAATGCTTGAAGTGTGACTCTAAAGAACACTTTGTCATTCAAGAAAAACCCAGTTTGTGTCCTCAACATTGCTTAAAGTTGTGAGTGCAGTGGGCTTGGACAGGGTCAACCCCACTGCATTAGGGGATGCCTTTAAGCCACACAGTTGACACACACAGAATTTCTCCCAGTTCTTCTGAGGTGAACCAAAGAATTTTTGCTGACAGATGGGGGTACTGCCTGCTGTCCTCTCTGTTGCACTCCTGTCTCTTGTCACATCCCTGCAGATGGACACCAGTGCTCTTGCCACAGGCTACATTTGGTTTCAGTTTTCAAATTTTTTTTTTCCTTGCAAATATTAAGGCTGAAACCTCTTTCAGTAGAGCAAGCAATGTGAAACAAAACAAAAACACCTCTGAAACTACAGCTCAGTCATGTCCCAAGGCTGCAGGCACAGAGGCAGACTTATCCTCAGAGTGTGGGAACTCAGGGGGCAGAACTCAAGGCAGGGAGGTCTGCCACATGTTAAATATGTCTAATTTTCTGTAGGCTTTCACATGCAGCCTGCATGCCTTCAATTCTTTCTCAGATCTTTGCAAAATGTAATTCAGTTCTATTTACTTGTGATTCATTTGCAGTTCTTTTCGGTTCTGAATTATGAAATTATTCCTCTTAATGCTGTCAGGAAAATTAATAATATCCAAGATCTCAGATTAAAAATTAAATATGAGCGTAACATTATTTTCCTCTGATAAATATTCATGTACAGTACATACTAGTGCAGGACTTTTCCAGAAAGAAATAAAGGAAAATATGTAGGCCTCATTCTTATTTTATTACAAAGTAGAAATTACAAGAGCTTAAGGCAAGATTTATATGTGCGCGTAGACATTATTTCTGATGGTGGTGCAATTATGATTTTCAAATGCAATGGAATGGTGATTTTTGAAATATGTCAGTGTTTCTTTTCTTTCTTTTTAGTTTTTCTTTCCTTGCTTGAAAACTTTTAACAGGCAAGCTTGTAAATAACACAAATATCTGGGGTCCGGAGTAGTGCATGTACCTGCAGCCTTATGTAGGTCCTGACTCAAGAATGTCTACCTATTCAGTAAAGACTCTTCAGCTTCTTCACAAATGCTTTCTAATATTGGAAACTTAAGGAAATCAGTATTGTGAACTTTGCACTTATTTTTCTCTGCAAACACACGTTTAGTCACTATTAAGTATGTATAGTTAATTTCCTAATGCCGTAATACAAGAAAATATTCTGACTGCTTTAAGGGACCAGTGTGTTCCAACCCAGGATCATGAGGTGGCATGTGTTGGGGACCCAAAAGGCCCCTGAATGAAGAATGATCCCGGGATGGAACAAAGCATTCCAACAGTTTTAAAGGAAGTGGCTACAGCCACAAGTATCTTATTTTGTAGAGGAAGTCGATCTTGGTAGTTTATCTTGTTTTTGCAAGGACTTGCTTTGCAAGCAGGTGTTATCTCTCACACACTCTAGGAACCTCTGGGACTGTTGCCTTTCTGCTGCATTGCAGTTGCAGGAGATGTCTGGGGAGTTGAAGTCCCCCATGAGAACAAGGGGTAGAGACCATGAGACCTCACCCAACTGTCTGTAGAAACCAGATTCTTAGTTTCTGTGCTACAAATAACGTGTTTGAGTTAATCCATTTGGCAGGAAAAAGTCTGTGGTTTATTTGTCAAAATACATAGCTCTGAACTGATTTTTAAATGGATGTCTGATTTTTTTTAAATACTCATTTGAAATACTCAGTCAACGCTGTTAATCAAATTAGTGATTCAAAGTATTTTTGCGTTTTCTCTCAGATACTTAATTTTGCTTTTTAAAATCATTGCATTATATGATCATATTTTGAAAGTGCAAAGACTCAGTCAAAACTGCAGAGATGGACCTCACAGAGGAGACAATTTGATGGTATTTTTTTTTTTTTTTTAAATATATTGTTGTGTTATTTCCAGCTCCTAGCACTCTGTAGTAACCAAATGTTCTTGTTTTGTATTTTTGGGGCTGATAATAGCAGCAGCCTGCAACATTCTAGTACTGAACAAAGTGCATTTGGTGGCATGATATTTTGAGAAGCCTGCCTTGCCTCTACTTGTGTAACTCTGGATGTGTCCTTTCTGTCTCCTGCAGAAGAATTTCATTTTCCTGACCCAGTGACTTCTGTAGCATTCCTCTGAAATCTTCTCTTGCAGCGGGTAAGACTATGGTTGAGTGTGTGGTGGCTGTTCCTATATATATATATATATAGGTTATATCGATAGGTTCCTTCACTTTGGCTTCTGAATCCCTCCTCCAACAAAACAACTCTTAAGTTATTAATTTCTCATTATATTTTAGTATCTATTAATTGCTGAACAATCTGTTAGGCTTCTGAGTACTCCCATTTTCTTCTCAGACTGACAGGTGGCTATTTCTGCTGTAGGTACCGTATGAGCCGAATTCAGGTTTGTCATACATTTTGCTCAGAAACACATCGCTCTTGTTGATGCAGTTTTTGTTGTTGAAGATTTTCACTTTGAATCAAAATGCTCAGCTGTGAATGCTGCAAGCAGTTTAAAAATAGCCATGGAGCATATTGTTAAGAGAGTGCTTGGAAGCCTCAGCCAAAACCAACCATTCTTGTGAATCTGAATGTTTCCCTGTTGCTGAGGAATGCTAATTAAGCTTTCAGTGCAGACAGGAAACATATTTAGCACGAATTTTCAGTGAAAAGGAGCTGATTTCTCTTACCTTCTTCCCTCAGCAAGGAGAGGGAGCCTGTTAGTATTCTACTTTTCCCACTGGTTCTCATGTTTATTTGCCCCAGAAATAAAGAATCAAATGAAATGAGATACACTTGTATCATGATGCATTCATTCTCTTGCCTTTCCCAAGGTCTTCTGTAGTCTGCAGCAATGCCTGTGTAATTTCCAGTAAACAATGAGAAATGTTTGCAGATTCATCGCTTTTCTCCTGGGACTCTGACATATTATGGCTGGCACCAGACAACACTGGTCTTTATAAATAATGTACAAGCACATGGACACACTTTTTGAGAAGCAAGAGGTCAAACAAGGTATTACAGTGATATCCCATGGTGCGAAACTAAGTCACCTCCTTTCTCCAGTAGATGAATTGACAAGTGTGGGTCTGTAAATTGTTCCTATCACTACTAAGACTAAAAGGAAAATGTCTCAGCTTGCTCACTGCAATTCACTCTGGCTGATAGCCAGGTTCTCCACCAGTCTGTGTCGTGTTTGTGTGCCCTGTGCCATCTTAAATTCTGTAGCCTTCAAGACCTCAAAACAACTTTTCAGTTTCTCCCTAGGTGCAGATTAAATTAATCTGGAATTTAAAGGTTCAGTGCTGCTGTGGAAGAGAATGGTCCATCACTATTCTGTTAATAGGAAGCTATGACTGTATCCTGCAAGTATCATTTATTAGATACCAAATGTTCTACAGTCACTTTACTGGAAACACAGGAATTCTGGTTTCTTCTTTACTGCTTTCTCAGCCATGGTATCTTATGATTGACAGTATGTCTCCCTACCTGCCAGACAGGATGCCAGTCTGTCAGAATTGTTTCCTTTTCTGTTTATTTACTACATAGAAGAAACTGATGTAAAATGCATTTATGCAGCTTTGATCCAGGGCAAAAAAACAAAAAACTTGTTCTGACCTAAACTTTTGGAGGAGGGAAAAGCTTGGACAAATCAAAGACATAAAAAAGAATTCTCTGTAATCAAATATGGAGAACATGAAAGGTATTACAGATTATTGGCAAGGTCTTCAAATAATACAAGCAAGCAGTTCTTATGTCTTTCAACTCAATGCTACATTATGAATACCTCAGTGATGCTGGAACAAATCAAGGATTTATACTTAGTTTTGTTGAGAGAGAGAAAGAGAGAGAGAGAGAGAGGTAAGAGCTTGGGTTTGGAGAAGGACTTTCTTAAGATTGTAAGAAACCAAAATGCTCCTGTCACTTTTGAAGTGGATGACTGCAGGTGATGGTAGGGGTGTCTTGTCAGCAGCCTCAGGAAGGCAGTAGAACAAACCTGTTTGGTGTTAATTAGCATCACTCACCAGATGAAACATCATCACTATCCTGAGAAGTGCTAGAATACTGGGCACTTGCAAACCCTGGGCCTCCACTAAGAAAAATCTGGAGAGGTTTTGAGATGTGAGCACTTCTAAGCACACAAGTCCCCTGGAAATATCAACAGAGCTGTCTGAATGAAAGGGATGTTTATTGCCCTTTGCTTCTCTTGCAAGCTGATTGTTTTGGGAAATCTGTTTTTGCAAGTGTCAGGCCGACCTGTGAAGAAGCAATTCTCCTCTGGATAATTTTGGCAGAACAACCTGACCTTCAAGAAACTATGACTAAGAGTGGCCCTTTATTTTCTTGTCACCCTCACAGTATGCAATCTGTGGCTGAGTCGTATGATGAAGTAATGGAGTCCAGAGATTCACTTCTGAAAACTGCTGTCATATAATAGCAATGCCAGCACTTATGAAATCTCCAGGTGAACTAGCTCAAAGGTGGTGTTCATGACAGTAGAAGTGTAGAGTCATTTAAAAACTGATTCTATGGTAAAAGTATTTCTGGGGCTGAGATGGGGTTTGAACGCAGCTCAAGGAACGGACAGAAATTCAGGGCCAAAGAGTAAAAGGCTTCTTCCCTGCCTGCCAGGAATTTATGGCAAGCTGCAGAGTGACAAAGACTTGATGATTTTTCCAGTGAGACTTGTGGAGATGCTATTAAACAGATAGTCTGAGGGAATCGACTGGAAGGAAAAAGGACAGGGAGGAGGAAAATGATGTGATCCATGCTCAGAGGCTGCTAAAGCTTTTGAAAAGTACACATGGGTAGCCAATACAGCCTGCCAATTTTGGCTCACCAGTACTTGCTGAGATGCAATTCAACCAAAAGACTTGCAAGAGAAGGACCAATCCTTTAAAGCAAAGGTATCTTAGAGACAGCTAGTGACCTTGCATGGGACTGTAGGTTTTTCCCAGTGTGACTTTTATATAAAAAGATTCCTCCATAAAGTCAAAGGAAGCAAAGGGTTTTTGTTGTTAGATGTTTGATTCCTAAATTGACGTTCTTTTTAAAGTAGATTTGTGGAAATAATGACTGTTGTCATCAACAGGCACTCTGTATGGAGGAACTTGGCAGAGGAAAAACCCTTCAGTTCTCAGCTCTGTGAGTGGGGAAGGCGGAAGGTGTACTTGGTCAACAGGGTGAGTAGAGTTGCTACAATTCCATTTTAAATACAAATTAATAACAAAAAACAAAGGAAAGATCTATAGTTAAAAAACAAACAAACAAAAAAACCACACAAATAAATAATCCACAATGAATAGAAGGTTTTATCTATTTTGTTGGAAATGCTTTTAATTTTCTTTCTATGAGTAAGACCAATGACAAACCCAAAGTAACTGGGTTGAGGCATTGCAATTTGGTCACAGCTATACATGTCTAAATCTGGAGAAGTTTGTCTGCATCTTACATCTGCTTGAAGTTGGAATCTATTTACATTGCTTACACTGTCTATTTACACTGTTCTATCTGGGAAAAAAAGGAAGGATTAAGTGTGTGTTAATACATATCTTTTTATCTGTTTGCAGACGCTACAGCTTCCACTACCATACTTGTAGACCTAGGATCCCGAGTCTGAAACGAAGCCCTCTTCTGTAGATGTGTAGCCTCTCAAGCTTGAGTTGTGAGTACCTTTCTCAAACTTCTTGATATTTAATGTCAGTTGCTTGATTCATTGTGATGCAGAATATTTTCTCTTCATTTTTGCTGTCATTGGAAAAATGTGGGAAGAAAACTCACTAACTCCAATGTGATGCTAGAAAGCAGCATTTCCTTATTCTTGTGATATGTATTGGGCAACTTAAGAAATCAAGCGCATACGCACACAGTTCAGGTTCTGCATTTAAACAGATAAGACGTACAGGTGCAATATATTGGCATGCATATTCTTTTCCAAGAACTCATTAATACATGCTAACATCCCTCTGAGCATGTGTGGTCATGTCTATGGTGGTCATACTACCACCTCCGTCCTCCTCTTTATCTCTCCTTCAGCTTCATCATGGTATCCTTTGGCTGACCTTTTAGCTGTTTTTCCCCAATTTGGCAAATTTCCATGGCATGTTATGCCATAATGTGCAACTTTCTATCTTGGTGCACTGTAACTCAAAACAATTTATATGAAACCCAAGAAAAAGTCCTTGCACATGGTGGATGCAAAGATAAACGTAGCTTATTGTGATTTGAATGCTTCAGTGAAGAAGAGATTTGGAAAAACAAGACCGTGCACATACCAAGCAAAGCTGAACGGAAAACTTTAGAACTAGCATTCATTAATTCCTTTTTGCTAAATTAATATATTGGCCCTAAAGTTAATATATTGATCCCTGTTGCTAAGCCAACTTACATCAGCACTACAAAATATCAATAGATATGCAGATGTTGGAAATACCTTGGGAAATGTAGAGATGGGAAATTGAGTAGTATTTAACATCTTACATTCTTTTAAAAAAAGCTATAAGAATTGATAGATTTTGTCTATTGTGCTATATTCAGTTTATTATATAGCCATCATTATTGAATTATTTTGGATGTATTGATACTACTTAAAATGGTTAATGTTCTCCAAAGTGCTGTATGCATTTAGAATGATGCATGAGTAGTAAGAATAACCAGACTATATATGTCAGATAGAAATAGAGATGTAAAGAAGCTGCATGATTATTTCTTGTACCTACCTGCTCATGGTGGACATGAAGAGGGGCTCATTTCCCAGGTGTAAATATATCACTGCTTCAGTTATCCTTTATGTAAAATGACATCAATGACATATCTCATAGGGGTTCTGTAAGTCAGCAATGTTTGTGAAAACACTTTTCTATCTTGATGTGAGAGACACTTTAGAAGTGCAGTGAATTAATGTTTTTTCTCAAATGCTTTTTGAGTTCTACAGGGTCAGGGTTTTGTGGCTTGTTATCAGTATTCCACCAAGTGACTTGCTTTCTAATCTCTAGATTTGCTGTGTGGTGATCAGAGTTTAATGAAATGACTGTGATAGCCAAAGACAATTATGATAATTGAGATCTTTATGGGGAGGAAGCCCTTAGTTTGGGTTTTATGCTGGTTCACAGTGTGAACCCTTCACAGCTCAGAAAAAAGCTCATCCTGGGACATACAATGCTCTCAACTATCTGTGGTGACTAACTCTGTATACACAGTTCTGACAGAGCAAATGAGAAGAAGGGCATGATTGCTTTTGTTTCTGCAGAAGAAACTGAAGAGAATTTAAGAGAATACTTCATATTACAGTACGTAGAAATTTTGGCTTGATGCTATCTTAGCTGACTTGTAGCTACTTATCAAAGCCTGCTATTACAGCTATGCTGCAGAGCTCTCAAGATACATCCTTGCTTCTTGGCTGAGTCAAGCTTTCATGCAGATACCTATCAAAACTTTCCACTCACAAACAAAATATTGTTACTTGGTAAAGTTAAGTAAGCCAAGTCCTGATCGGGACCCATAGACTTGTGGGTGTTCAAGTTCCTCAGGTGGTCCCAAACCTAATCTTCATTTATAGGAAGCAACGTCCCTACCCCTTGATCCCCTCCTGCCAAACCAAATGCTTGAGGACTGTGTGGTGAGCAGTTGTCAGGGAGGACCTGACAAGAGGTAAAAAAGTGAAGTACCTCAGCCTTCTCCTTGTCTGTTGTTACCAGCCTGCCTGACTTTCCTTTTCTGGTTGAGGTACCTGTAAAAGCCTTCCTTGTTCTTTTTTGCAAAGTTCAGTGGTTTTCCTGACCCCATCCCTACACAGCCTAGCAGCTTCCTTATACTCTGCTCTTGGTACCTGTCCCTGTTTCCATTGCCTCTATATTTTCTTTTTACTCATCAGTTTGACCAGCAGGTCCTGGTTCAGCCATACTGGTCTCTTGCCTTCCTTTCTTGACTTGCTACACCTGGAGATGGAGAGCTCTTGTGCCCTGAAAAAAGCCTCCTTGAAGCTCTGTCAGCTCTGCTCTGTAGCCTAGTCCATGAGGGCAGTTTCCCAGGGTGTTTTGTTGACTAACTCCCTGAAGAGCTGGCAGTTAGCTTTCCTGAAGTTTTGCTTCCTAGTTTTGCTCTTGACCTGTCTCTTGTCCCTCTGGAGCATGAACTGAATCATGGCATGGTCACTACAGTCCAGGCAGCCTCCAATCCAGATGTCACCAGTCAGTTCAGCCCCCCTTGTGGGCATATTATAGTGCATATCTAAGGAACAGTAGGATTTCCTGGGGTGTGGTGTCTGGTCAGCAGCTGTTAGAGAGGAGGAGACACAGCAACAGGGCATCTTCTTGTCTCAGAATACAATAACATGCTGCTTGGAACTCTTTACATTCCTAAAAACCAGTTATTTCTTTCTTCATCTTTGCTGCTAAGCACCTCCTGAGCAATTTCTGCTGCCCTTGAATTGGATTTTTCACAATATTGCATATAAAGATATTTCAGAAATCAAGAGGGTTTGCTTTTGAAGCTAAATCATCAAAACATATCTTTTTATTCTGAATGGACCATTTGGGTGACCATTTCTATTTCAAATAAGCATGGGCAAAGCATAGACTTTTTGAGAAGTGAACTTAATAGATCCAGTTCAGAAGTGCAGCTCTCAATGCCGGTGCAGCTCTCTGCTTCAAGTGTGAGAAGAAAGCAGCGTGTGAATTGTGGGAGCTGAGAAGGAGATGCCATCTGACCTGGCCCTTTCTCCACCATTGCAGTCACCAGCATTCTTAAGAGGAATCCTGGCAAACTGGTGCAGGTACTTTTTATATCTAAATTTCAAGTCAGCAAGGTCCTGTGGCTGACAGGCAATCCTTTTGCCTTTCTGTTTGGTTCTTCTGCTTTAGCTATTGTCATGTTCTGAGGCTGCTTTTTTTTTTTTTTTTTTTTTTTTTTTTTTTTTTTTTTTAAATAAAAAAACCCAAAACAATTCAAACAGGCTGGGCACTGGCACACAGACAATTGTCAGCATGCTTGTACAGAATTAATGTTGATATTCTCTTCATTGTGCTCAGGTTGTCCGGAAGAACTCAGGAGCAAATTACAGTCTGGATTACTGTTAGATGATGGAGCAGACAGTCTCTACTGAAACTTTTTTTTTTTTTTTCCTCATTTACTTGTGCTGCATTGCAGATACCTGTTCAGTCATGCCTGGTGCTGAGATTAAATGGCTCCAGCAGTGAGGATGCCAGTGACTGGAATTTGATTGCAAAGGCTTGCACTTGTACATCAGCAGAGTGGTTGATTGTAACCCAGCTGCTGTTGCAAGTGAATTGCACCTTGCATGGGACACGTACCTAGGCCTCAGTCTAGTCCACAGCAGGGAAGCCACCATTTCATGTGATGCTGGTAGCAGTCCCAGCACCACAGCAGAAACTGCATGGAGATCTTGGGGGCAGTTTTAAGACAAATTGGAAGTGCAGCGTGAAAGCACTCTTTTCAGCCACATATTCTGCATTGTGGATTTGTGAATTTATGAAGTTTCATCTCCAAGACTAGCAATATCGATTCCTTTACAGGCTGACTGGGTGTCCACCACCCTTAAATGGATCCAGGCACTGTGAAGGTAGGCTTGGTGTAAAGTTGTCCCTTCACACCCATTTTCAGGTTTATTTGGACACTGCAGGAAAACTCTGAGTGTTTTTAAAGAGGGAAATTAAATCTGCACCTTATGGAGATAAGATCATTCATCCATGTTTCCTACAGTTCACAATTTTCACACCTGGAAGTCCCCTGTCCACATTTATCCCATTTAAGTAACAGGGCAAGACCACTCCACGTTTTGTTGTACCTTTTAATGAAGGAGGTTATTTCAGAAGAAGCTTAATGAGATGTGTAGAACTGCAGTCTGAAAAATAAGCTGATGGCATGAGGAAGACTGAAGAGCCTTCCCAGCTACCAGTTCTTACATCTACTTGTCCTTTATGTGCATCAACGATGTTCACCCACAAGTTGAGGATTCATTTTGCAGAGGTGACTTGCATCACGTCCCAGTGCCAAATAGCAGAAGCACGGATGTAAATCCTTTCTGCATGAACTGCAACATCACAAGTTGACATAGGCAACACACTATGGATGGAGAGTACCCTGTTTTCTTTCAGTCTGCCCTTTTTATGATAAACAAAATATGTGGTGAATTTCAGCTTTGCTGCATGCTCCATGCAGGAGACACTGAGATACACAGTGAACTCCCCCGTGGACTTGATAGCATTTTAAAAATGCATTGCCCAACCTGTAGGCTGATACTACTGCGCATAGATGCAGACAGTACAAGCCCATGTGTCACTACATGTTTTCTTCAGATAGAGCTCTAAAAGTAAAGCAGTATCTCATGCTATCTATGTTAGAGTTATTGGGGAGGCAGTAGATGTAAAGACAGATTATGAAGACGGGGAGGGTTCTAGCGAATCTTGGAGCGCTGTAGATGCCCACTTAATCTTTTTAACCTTAGCCAAAATAAGTTTGTCTTTGGTTTTATCTTTTCAGTTTCCAATCTCAGGCCATTGTCACCAAAAGGATGACTGTATAGTAGTCTGTGTATATATTTTGTGACTCGCTCGCTTGATAGTACCAACTTCATCCACTCTGCTCAGAGCATGTTTAGAAGTTTCTATGGCAGTGCAAAGTGGGAGGTAACCAATGGGAGAAACAGCAAACGGAAGTGCACAGGAAGTTGAAAATGCCAGAATTGGGCTGTCCCATGTTACTTCAGCTTAGGTGTTCCCTCTTATTATCTTGTCAATGTTCTGAAAGCCTATCATGACAGGCTGTAGTCTCTACACCACTTCATTTGTAAGTGCTTCTGCTGAGAGTGTCATGAGAGAAAAGATAATGCCAGGTGTGCAGTAATTTTATTGAGGATAACCAACGTCGCAGTAAGAGTGGGGTTAAGGGCTGCTGATCATCCACAGAGGTCATCAAATGAGCCTTTTGCATCACGTGTTCATAATCTTGAGTTATTTGCTCTGAGTGAATTATCCAGTGAATTACAGCCTTGACTAATTTGAGAACGGGTCCTAATTTCCACAGATTCATCACACACATAGATGAATTGCAGGGTACACTATCAAGAGGGTATTATGCGTGTGGTAAAAATGCACTGGTGCATTGCCACCTACAATTTATAGATGGTCTGTGAGCTTTTGCCTTTTATTCTTATGCTCCAGGGAGTCTGTTCATGAGAGTTTCAAACTGTGATCAAACTTTTAATTGAAAGTGATGGGCCAGAATGCTACTCACCATGCTTTGGGGAGTCCTGGCAATATTGCTGTCCACAGGGCAGCTACTCAAACTCAAGGTGATTTCAGCAAGCTCCCTGATCCCATCTTGTCCTGTTCACTCATGGTGAGTCTCGCTCTATAACTGCAGTGTGGAGTTGCCAAAACAAGATAAAGAGAAACCCAAAGCGAAGTTAATACATCCCTCGCTGTAGCAGAAACAAGACGCAGATCATCTCCCCTCTTCTTTCCTGAAGGAAGCAAAAACCCAAGGCTGTGATTCTTGGCTGAAAACGGACTGCCTTCAATGTATGCTGTGTGCCAGCTGGGAGCTTGGCTCTGAATTTGACAGTTCCAGCTCTTTCTCTGAAGAAAGCTGCTGCTTCTGTCTCGCATGAACTCTGCATTATATTCAGTGTATGTAAAAACAACCATAACGTAACCAGTGACCTTGACCATAGCATCAGCTAAAGGAGAAGCAAAGAACTCCCTATGGTATGCAGTATCATTTATCAAGGCATATTTCTATTGACCATACTCCCTCTAAGGAAAATATCTTTCCTTAAAGAAAAAGATCTCAGACTATATTACTGAAACTTTGGGAAAAGTTTGTGTATGTCTTAGCAGTGGAGGATCAGAAGTTTTAAATCAGCTAAAAAAGTCTTCTACTATCTATCTCCCCTCTAATCTCAAAGCCGTTGTCCCAGTGGTGACATAGATCTATGGCATACTCTCTTCCCTTCCCAAATGCTGCAGTCCCTCCCCACTTCATCCAGGAGTGTGCTAATGCTGTGCTCTGCAGCACCCCTGAATTCTGCGAAGTGGCAGTCATGCATCCAACATCATGGGATCTTGTTCTCATGTAAGCCTGTGATGTTTGTCTGGTTTCATTCGCTGTTTTGCCTCAGTGGATGAATAAGCAAATTGTGAAACTCTTCTTTATAATTCCTAATGGCATAAAAGTATGTATATTTTATGTTAGGTAGATAAAGTTTTACATATACTTACAGAGAAGTTGGCAGGGAGAGAGAGGTTAATTATCCATGAATATTGTTAGATTTCTTGTCTTTTATGGACACTGCCTTTTCATGTATGGAGCACACTTCCTTTCCCAGTTACCATTTTCCCATTTTTCTCTGTCTTCTTTTAAAAGAGAAAGTGGCAATTAATGATCTTCTGTCATTTCCTTGCTCTGTTTTTGCAGCTACCATTTCCCTTTGCTGCCCTTATTCTTTCATTTAAGCTCTGCACAGATGATTTGTCACTTCCTAAACTCAAGAAATATCTGCACAATATAGCAGATTAGCTCCTGAGCCAAGCTTAATTTAATCCAATGGGAAATTTTGGTGGAGTTTAGAACAGCTCCTAAACATCCCTTGTATAAAGGTTCTCCCCAGTCAGAGAGCCTTCATGCTCTTCAAGTATTGGTTTTCCTTTCTTCAGAGCACCTTCATAAAACTGAAGTCTCTGGACAACGTGCCTGTGTCAACAGCAGGCTGTATTTTCTTACAGCATATTATGATGATGGCATTATGATGATGGCTTTATACTCCAGAAAAATGGAGGATGCTTAAGGATCTGCAGTGCACTTGTTAACAATGGAAGTTCTGAAGCTCTGGATTTCTGCGTTCAGCTCAGCATCTCAAGGAAATTGCTCAGATTCCTATTTATCTCAGTTTACCCATTTGAATCCAGGGCACAGTGTCTTTGTGAAGTGTAAATGATGCATGTTTTTGGAATGCTTGAAACAAAAGATTATGTAATGTGGGGAAAAAAAAAAACAAAAAACACGAGCTGTTGAGGAAGAAAAGAAAAAATCTACAGCATTCTCATAGGCCTGGTGAACAAAAACAAAAAAGGATTTGCTAAATACAGGCTTAAAGCAAAACTTGAAAATGTGCTTTTACTCTTGGTTTGGGATTTCATAACAAACATACCAGGATCATAATTTCAAAGAAAGTAGGTAATGAATGAGAATCTTATCCATACTCTAATCATGCCTCATGTACATAAATTAGACATGTCTCTCCCAAAGAGCAGATGCAATCTCACTTGAAATGTATTGTGAAGAAATGTCCTTAGGGGCCAAAGCACTGTGTCCTCAGTAAAGTATGGGCCCATAAAAAATACTGCAGATGAAAACTACTGTGTAGCTGGGGTGCACCTAGTCCTGTGCATCCTGTAAGGATGTTGTGTTAGGAACCTGTGGGTGCGGAGTTCATTGATCCAACAAGCAGGATGCTGGGCTGCAGAGAAACCTCAGCACACAGAAAACCATGATATTATTTCAACCATTGCTACTGCATGACAAATATATTCACCTTATAACTATGCCACATTCCACTAAATTACATGCTCTGTGGTTTGCTGTGATTGTATGATGGCATCACTCCCTATAACCACAAACCACAGTGAACTGACGTTGTTTCCGTGATTTCACTGGTTTTGTCTTAACCATATCCTTTGGCCCTTCTGCCACTTTCACCATAGGAAATGCTAAGCTGGAACACCGTAGAGCACTTCTACAAACTCTTATTTTCCAGCTCCTTTAAATGCACAGGCCTATAGCACTTCTGTTTAGTGTAAACCTCCTTCTCGTGGTGAATGCAGCTTAAACATCTTCATCCTGCCCCATTGGATGCCAGGTCTTGATGGGGAGGATGTTGGGCAGATGGCCAAGTTGTGAGCAGGGAATCAGCCTGAGTTGTCTTAGAGCGATGCTGGGCATTGACACATGAGCTCTGCTGTCTCAGGAGTGCATTTCCCTGAGCCATCCCAGTACCTGCTGCCTGTCCTCTTCATTAGGCACATGGTGCACAGCCACTAACATTGGCACTGACTGAAACCAGCTTAGGTTTGTGGGGATTTAGCAGACCAGCTCTTGGCAGAGCTTTTCCTAGAGGAAGCAGAACAGCCTCGATCAGTGTGGTTCATTCTTGAGGGCTGTGCTCTGCAGTGAAGCTGAAATTGCCTGGATTCCCTTCATGGCACAGCCTGTCTGGAAGAAAGGGAAATTTGAATGTTGCTTCTGTTGGCAGGAATAACACAAGGTCTCATTGCAAGGTTGGAAATACATTGACACGTCTTAGTTAGATCTATTCCATGGAAGAACAGTGAACTTCAGTTTCAAGTGCCATTTCCTATTACATTTAGATAGCACTGAGGTGGTTTCTAAATGGTGGAGGAATGGGCTAAATGGAGATATGGTGAATCAGGGGGGTGATTTGTTCCAGGAAGCAGTGGGATCGCTCGCTTCATTAGTTTCCATGCTACCCAACTGCTCTATTTCAATATATTAGAGCACTTTCATGGCCGAGCTGAGCACGGTGGTGCATAGTGCACTCATGCCGTACAGATAGTTCCACATATATCTCCTGCCAGGGAGGCAGTAAACAAAGGCTGTGAATATCTGCACTCAGCTGCAGTAGCTCTGCGCCTCCATTATAATTTGTGACCAACATAACAAGATATGCTGTATACTAATGCTGGGTCATATATTTGGCTGTATATATCTCGGGCATCCTCCGAGATATTGCATACACACAGGTGCACATGCGCACACTCTTGATTTGCTCCTTCTCTGTGAGGCTGGACAAAGAGATGTGAGGCACATAAATCTTCTTATTCCAAGAATCTCCTAACATAAAGAAATTCTTACCTAGAAGCAAACTTGTATAGAGTGGTTTTCAAGGCAACAGACTTTGTGTTCCAAGTAGATAAATAATGCACAGGCCAGATGCTTATTTGACCTTCCTCTGTTTGCAAGTTTAATTAAAAAGAAGCAGAAAAATCACGGTGTAGTCTTCTCCACTTTTTCCCCAGAACTTAGCAGACTACTCAAGAAGAAATGTAGACTTTTTATTTCAACCGGTCCAAATTTCAGAGTTTCTTTAATTTCAAAGAAAAATCATCTCTCTTCAGCCCTGTTGATTCTCATGAAAGACATTACTAAATACTGAATTGTTACTGTCAGCACTTACCTTCCAGGAATTTACCAGTACCTGTTTTTGTGTACTTATTACCAAATAAACAAGATCTACCCATTTTTTGTTTTAAATTTAGTGATTTCCCAGCTGTAGAAAAGCTAATGAATGCCATCTCTGCACCATCAGTGGGACAGGACTCTGTTGGGAAAGGAAGAAGTTGAAGTTGACATCCCTTCTGCCTCTCTACCAGCAAAAGCAGGCTGCAGCTGCATGGCCTCTTAACCTCATAATTTTTGGAAGTTCAGCAGTCATTTGGTAAACAAAGGCAGGAGGAAACCTTGAGCTGCTATAAACCAGTGCACCTCTGCTGTCAGAAATGAACCTTGCCAGACTACTCCATCAAAGGACCTGACCTAAAGTAATGGGAATTTGCTACTGGAATATAAGTCAAACATTTGAGGACTGTATTCCTTCTCCTGAAAACTTGCATCCAGTTCGGTGTTCCTCCAGAGAGCATTTGCAAAGACTGTTTTTTCATTTAGTTTGAGATCAGGTAGACAGGAAAAAAATCAGCAGAGCTGGCAAGGAAAGGCAGTACTGAGAGGAAAGGAAAACACTTTAGCTCTGAGGTTGCCTTCAGCTGGCAGAAAGAATGGAAGGAGTCTGTCAAGTGAGTGACTGGAGCCAAGGTGTTTTGTTTCATTTCTGTGGGTTTTTTTAATTGTTGGCACCACTACTGTTAGTGATACAGAGTCTCAGTAAGGCAGCTGAAGCAGCCCTTTTGCCATGGAGGTGGGGAGAGCCTGCAGAAGCCACAGGCAGAAACCCAGGGTCCAGCCCCAGAGCAGGAGGTGCAGAGCTGCTGCACATAGGCTCCTGTCACGAAGCATGCAGCAGCTTTGGGAGCTTCTAACACTTGGCTTTGCACAGTCCCTTTGCTAAGCCGTGATTTGCTGTTTCTTGTTTCTGCCCTTTTGTGTCCAAATACAAATGTATTTGTCCTGGCCAACATATCTGTGGAGCAGAGCCTCCTGCCCAGTGGCATGGGCTGTTACAAAAGCAGTGTGCATCAATCACACTGTGCACACCTATTTGGGATGCACACAAATTCAACATTGTTTCTGTTTTTTGCATAAGAAGGCAATTCAGAGGGGACTCTGTTTACAAGACACTGATTGGTTTTACTTTACATACCAAAGAAGCACAAATTGTATAAATGTAGCATGTGAAGAGCTTTGAATCTTATATTTGAAGATAATTTGTGTTGACTACACTTGGCACTAAGGAGGAGGCATGGCAAAGAAATGTACAGAGTATACCGAGAGCTTTTGTCATATTTCCAAGGGGAAAGTGAAAGCACAGCATGACTTGCATTGCCAAGCTTAAGATTGCCACCTAGTTTTCATGAGATTGCTCTAGGCTTGATAAATCCCATTTTAAAATTGGCATTTCTAGAATAAACAGTTCTTCACACTTTATTCCTAGGATCATTGTCATTATCTCTGATTACTTTTATTTGACAAAGTGTCAGTTTTATATCATGAAGATACAGCAACAAATTGGATTGAAACATAATGATAGTGCAATTTTGAGTAGGACTCCCTTGATGGTTGGACCAGATGATGTTAGAGATCTTTTCCAACCTTAACAATTCTACGATTCCTTAACCTAACCTCAGAAATCCAAAAATTGGATGTCTAGTCTTGGTCTGGGCTCTATTTGTAGTCAGCAAAGGGAAATGGGCTTCTAGAAAATGATTCATCCTGTCCAAAATTAGATGTCTGAGACTGACTGGATTGTTTTCCCACCAGAGGTATTTTTCTGTATCCACAGACTAGAGGGGAAACCTATATAAATAATTTGGACAGATTATCTGTCTTTAGGTGGCTACATATCTGTGAAAAACGTGTTGAACATTTGGTTACTTCCTTGTAGCTTCTTCAGTGCTATGGACCAACCTAAACTTACAATAAGGTTGTAGTATAATTGACAACAATAGATGAAGTAATTTATTTCTCCAGGGGAAGAAGAAATACAAAAGAATGTGGTATCTGTATGCACTACAGCATAGTTTCTCTCTACTGACAAATGTGTGTTTGATGAAAACAAAACTGAATCATATTGAAAGGTGAGACGGGCCCCATAAGTGAAAGTAAAAAGGCAAGAAGCCTCAAAAAATCATGTATTATAAGTTACAGAACTGAGACTATGTGGAGACAACTGCATTGTAAGCTGTCAAAATAAACAAGTTGTAAAGCTAAAGATACAACCTAGTTGTGCAGCATTCACATCCCTGTTCCCCAGTCAGTACAAATAGATGCAGTTTAACCAATGGATCTGTGCCCATTCGCTTCTATCTACAGCGTGGCATCCATCTGTGTGCCCTAACCCTCTCTTCCATGTTCAGATAGTATGTGGGCCTCCACGTAATCCCTCTGATTATACCAGAACGGAGTACGTAACAGAGAAATGGATAGTAAGGAAATAAAGCATGCATGTCGGAATCCCTTAAAGTGCAATGTTCATCATCCTTCCTGAATGAACATGTGAAAGAAAAACAAAATTTTATAAAGTACGTTTTCATCAGCTGTGGGAGGCAACAGTGGCTTTTGCTGGAGTGAAGCAGCACTCAGGAGATACTCAACCCCACAGTCATAGGTCACACTGGCAGAACTCAGCACACAGACTGTTTGCTTTGTTTTCCAGAGTTGGTGTTCGGGGTGGTGTCAGAACTTCTACATTTTTGTTTCCATCATTAACCATGTCAGACTTCCTCCCCAAGAAAATTCAGTTTTAGGAGAATGGTGACTTCATCACAGAAAAAATCCCTCTGGCTTTAGGAATGCAACCTTTATTCTGAAGTGAAAGCAGTCCAGAATACTGTGTCGGCACAGATTTATTTTGGTTAGCACCCCGTACAGAAAAGCTGTGCACTATGTAGGCCTATACTGATTACAGAAAACCCTGAGCTGAAACTCCCTCAATCCTGTGGATGAAAATGACCTATCCTTTTGCTGCCCTCTTTCTTCAACTTGCAAGCATATCACCTGCACGTAGTAGTTTAGTGACTTCCTCTTTGACCAACGATGTTGATACTTGGAAATGAGGTGGCAAATTTGTACTCAGATTATTTGGGAAAGAATCAGAGTAGTCAAAACATCTTGAATCTCTACTCTTACTAGATGCCAATCTATTTAAATATTATAAAATGTTTAAAATTTAAATTATATTAAAATTTTAAATCATTATTTAATTTAAAATTCCCTCTGTAGTTGCTTATAGTCATGGTGTTCCAAATTCCTTCTCCAAAGAGTTGAGCCCTTATGCTTCCCTCAAATCATGGAGGTTCACAAGACTTTGGTCTCCTCTGGCCAGAGGGCATGACTTGCTTTGCCCTCAGATTTTTTACTAATTCCAGCATCTCAGCCCTGTTTGTCAATGACTGTACAAAGAATCAAGAACATTAAATATTAGGCAATGCTCACCACATTCCCTGAATCCCTAAAAAGCAGCAGTACATTGCAGTAATGGGAGGGGAGCAGAAAGAGGACAAAAATGGGTCTTCTTGCTTATGGAGAAGCATTGCTACTGGCATTGATGCTTGGACCAGCCGCAGTGAAGAAAAAGCCTGTTTCTCATTGGTAACTGCTTCTCACTGCCAACTGCCTTCATAAGGTACTGCCAAGGGTTTCCTAAGTCCAGTTTCTGGGGATGGCCAAGAAGGGCCAGAATGTCACCACAGGATGGTGGGGTAAGGAGGAACAAGGGCAAGAACAGCATCCCCCTGGGCAGGTGAGAAACATAAGGGAGGCAGAAATTCAAAACCTGTCACCTGGAGCCATGGACGTGCTGCAAAGCAGAGGCATGCTGGGCCAGATGTGGCCTTTGCACCAGTGGAGACTGTGAAAAACCCACACTGAGCTGGCAAGCAGGAGATGGCCTTAAGCATGGCCCTACCATCGCTATGTCCAACACAACCACAGTTCCTTTTCTGCGTAGTGCTTACCTGGCTGGATACACCCAGGCTGAACTGGTGCTGGGGTGCTTCATCCTAAATGGAGGAGAAGGGGGGGACTCTGCACTGATTCCTGGTGAACTCAGCCCTTGGAGATGGTTCCTAGCACTCAGAAGGGATGGAGCACAACCTATGCAAATCTGGAACAGGCCAGGTGCAGGGTGATAAGGTGCATGACAAGAGTCACAGTGCCATGGAACTGAGGGATTTTGGCAGCTGGAGGGACTGAGGAAACATCTCCAGCCCTGCATGACTTCTACAAACTGACCCATAAATGATCACCCTGTCCAGGGTCTGAGAATGCCCCAACCACAGCACAGTCCTGAAACACCATGGCAGCCACAAAAGGCCGTACGACACATGTCACGGGGCAAATGTCCCATTTTGATTTGAAAACACCTCCCACAATAATGTAGAGGCTGTGTGCAGCCCGTAATGCAGAAGCTGGAGGGCATGTCACACGTGGATGGAGGACGGGCTCTTCTCCAAGGCTGGGGACAACCCTGCTCCTCGTACTGACCCTCCATCCCTCCAAATACATGATATCCCACCAAACCCAGCAATCTCCAGCTGTGGCCTCCACAGAGCAGAGCAGAGGGGCAGGATAACCGCCCTTCATCTATTGGCTGCACCTGGCCTCATGAAGCCCAGGACACCATTCACCAAGGCAGCCTGGACGGCTTGCTGCTTCAGCCAGGTGTCCAGCAGGACTCCTAGGTCCGCTCCAGCTGGCTAACCCCAGCTGTCATACGATACAGGGATGTTCCCCCCAGGTGCAGAAATTTGCCCTTTCCCACTCTGAAGCCCGTGGGGTCCATATCTGGGATACAACAAAGCCAGCAGTGTCATGGCACCAGGAAAAAAGGGAGAAAGCATCGAGGATGAGGAAGCAACAACGGCTGTGCCGTTGGCAACACCAACACGTATTTTTGCAGGTTTTTTTTCTAGTTTATTTGCATGGTGGAATTGGACACTGATGACAAGGGTCCACTGGGGCCGGCGTGTGTCCCAGCTGCTGCCCGGCCCCAGTCTCATCAGCTCGGCCGCTGTTCTATTGCTGCCGGCTGGGTGGCCTCTTCTTTGGTGATGTTGAGGCCTGGCAGTCGCTGGCCTTCCTCTTCGGGGCTCGCCGGGACTCCTGAGGAAGGCTGTGGCCAGAGGGCCCTGCCACAGGCTGCCCTGGCTCCTCATGGGGCACTGCCTGCTCCACGGTGACCTCCTGTGCCCCAGCAGCAGGGGTGACGTTGAGGCCCAGCAAGCGCTGAGCCTCCCTGCCGTACTTCTGCACGGTGAAGGCGATGAACTGCCTTACGAAGTTGCCTGTGTGGCCGTGCAGGTGGAGGTCCAGCCTCTCCATCAGGACGTCCTGCTCCAAGCCGACGAGGAGCAGGGCCGAGATGACGCTGTTGGCCAGCGCTTCTGCCTGTGGCTCCTCGGTGCCCAGGATGCGGCGCAGCTTCCGCTGCAGCCAGGAGCGCAGGGGCCGCAGCAGGGCCGGGTTCTCCCGGAAGATGGAAGCCCAGGTGTCACGGGAGAGGCCGCCCGCGGAACGCCTGGGCACTGCAGGCCATGGCCAGGCTGCCCGGGGGCCTGCGGGGCGTCGGGTGGCAACGGATGCCACTGGAGCCGGTCTGAGGACCAGCTCCTCGTACTTGCTGTCCGCTGGCGTGCTGTGGATGATGGACTGCACGCCCTGTTTGCAAAGCGGACACTGGGGCCTGGTGCTCGTCCACCGCTGGATGCAGGGAAAGCAGAACTGGTGGCAGCACGGCATGGCGTACGCCGCGCTGTCCCAGTTGTCCAGGCACACGGGGCAGCGGGTGTCTAATGCTGCCTCCATGCTTCCGCCTCTTGCGGTGGGCTCGGGGGAGCGGGAGATGGCAACGCGCTCCCCGGCACTGGCGCTGCAGCAGCAGGTGTCACGCTGGAAGAGGACAAGAGGACAAGAGACGTTAGTCACACACCTGGGAAGCGCTGGGAAGGCTCCCTCAAGGTGCCCCCCTGCCCTGCGCCGCCAGTCCCCGTGCCGCCTACCTGTGCCGCTGCACGCGCCTCTCTGGGATGTCCCGTCTGCCTGCTCCCAGCAGGGTCGGGGTAAAGAACAAGTGGCTCTGAGACGGCCGCTGAGAGCTGCGCTAGCAGCACCCAGAGCACGTTCCAGCACCAAAGCTCGCCCTGTCCACACTCCGGTCCTCGCACGCACGCACGCTCGCTCGCTCGGTCGGAGGCCAGGCACGAACTGCTGGGCTGAGCCGCTGCACCCACCTTAAAGCATCCGTGCACTATGGAGTCACAATCCGTTGCCTGGAGACGTCTCCAAGCACGGCTTGGCCAAGCCGCTGGGCGTCGCCTTCACTCCACCTTCACTTGGGGACATGGCTGCCCATCCCACAGTGATGCCACAGTGCATCGCCGGCTCATCACAATGTGCCGTCCTCACCTGCAGCACGTGCCCCAGCGCCGGCACAAGTTTCACAGGTTTCTGGGCTTTTCCCAGTGCCACTGCCCGCTCCATTCCCCACGCACACCTCGTGTGCTTGGCGTCAGTGGTTCACACCAATCACCGGGGCCTTGGCCACATCTTCCCACGGGCCCCATCAGGTCTCTCTGGCCATGGCACGCAGCCCCAGGCATGTACTGCAAGAAGGAGAACTTGTATTCAATAAAAGTTCATGTTTCTCTCTGACAAGGGGTCTTGATGATCTCAGAGGTCTTTTCCAACCTTCCTGATTCTATGACTCCATTGTTCTTAGGCTGCAGGAGGAAGTGCTGCAGACTCTCCCTATGCTCCAGCTCTGCTGGCCAGCCCTCTGGGACCTGCAGGTTCTTCCCAAGGGATGTCAAAACCCAGAGCACTGTCCAGTGGATTTTCTCCCCCTTGCAGAGCAATCAAGCCATCGAGCTGTCTCCAGCTGCAAGCCTTGGCCATCCATTCATACAAGGGCTTGCAATAGTTGGCACCCGGTTGGCTTGGCCTTATCAAGGTTTGTCCTTAAGAACTTCTTTACGGTGAGGGTGACAGAGCACTGAAACAGGTGCCCAACAACAGGGAGGTTGTGGAGTCTCCTTCTCTGGAGATATTCGAGACCCGCCTGGCCACCTACTTCTACAGCCTGATGTAGGAAACCTGCTTTGGCAGGGCGATTGGACTTGATCTCTCGAGGTCCCCTCCGACCCCTATGATTCTGTGATTATCAACTGCTATTTTTGACATTATTTTTCCAGGAGATTCCTGGAGTCTGTTGAGGTTAACTTCCCGGTCCAGGTACTGAAAGACCAACCTGAGGTGAAGCCTTTCTGGACCTGGTGCTCACCAGTGCAGAGGAGAGCATTAGAGAGGTTCAGATTGGAGGCAGCTCGTTCTTCAGTGATTATGGCCTGGTGGAGTTTGTGACCTGGAGGATTGCAGACATGGCAAAAACCATAGTCAGGATCCTGAACTTCAGGAGAGCAAACTTCCACCTGCTCAAGGAACTGCTGATTTCCTGGGAAACTGTCCTTAAAGGCTTAGGAACAGAACAGAGCTGTCAGCTCTGTAAAGACACCCTTCTGTGAGTGCAAGAGCTCTCCATCCCCCATCAGAAGAAATTGAGCTGAGGCTGGTGACCGGCATAGCTGAGCAAGGACCTGCAGCTCAAGCTGATGGAAAAGAGGGAAGTATACAGGAAGCGGAAGCAGGGTTGTGTAGCCTGGGAAGAATACAGGGACATTGTCCACATGTGTAGAGATGAGGAAAGTTAAGGCACAGATGGAGCTGAACTTGGCAAGGGATGTGAAAAATAACAAGAATGGGTTCTACAGGTACATAGGCAGGAGGAGACAGATGAAGGAGTGTGTTTCCACTCTGATAAATGAGGACGGAGAACTGGCTTCCTCAGACATGGAAAAAGCTGAGGTGCTCAGTAAGTGCTTCGCCTCGGTCTTCACTGGTGGCCAGGCTCTCCGCGTCTGCCAGGACCCTGAACCTCTAGGTGCGGGTGAGAGGAGCATATTTTGTATCCTACTGTATCCTACAGTAACAGTGGAACAAATCTGAGATCTCCTCATGAAACTGAATGTATATAAATCCATGGGGCCGGATGATATGCACCTCAGGGTTCTGAGGGAGATGGCTGATGTGGTTGCTGAGTCGCTCTCCATCATATTTGAAAAGTCACGACTGACAGGTGAAATCCCCACTGTCTGGGAAAAGGGAAACATCATTACTCCCATTTTTAAGAAAGAGAGAAAGGATGGCCTGGGGAACTACAGGCTGGTGAGCCTCACCTCTGTGCCTGGGAAGATCATGGAACACATCTTCCTGGTTACCACATTAAGGCACATACGTGATGAAGAAGTGATTCAACATAGCCAGCATGGCTTCACCAAGAGTAGATCTTGCCCAATCAATCTGGTGGCCTTCTATGATGGAACAGTGGCAGTGGTGGACGGCGGAAGGGCAATGGATGTCACCTACCTGGACTTCTGCAAAACCTTTGACATGGTCCTTCACCACATCTCCCTCTAAATTGGAGACGTACGGATTTGAAGGATGGACTGTTTGGTGGATGAAGAACTGGTTGACTTGTCACAGCCAAAGGGCTGTGATCAACGGTTCTGTGTCTGGGTGGAGGCCGGTCACAAGTGGTGTCCCTCAGGAGTTAGTCTCGGGTCCAGTGTTCTCCAGCATCTTTATCAGTGACACAGATGGTGGAATCGAGTGCAGCCTCAGCAAGTTTGCTGATGACACCAAGCTGAGTGGTGCAGTCAATACGACAGGGGGAATGGAAGCTCTCCAGAGGGACCTGGACAAGCTGGAGAAGTGGGCCCGTGTGAACCTAAGGAGATACAATAAGATTGAATGCAAGGTGCTGCAGTTGGGCTGGGGCAATCGCAGGAATTTATACAGACAGGGAGAAGAACCCCTTCCTTCAGAGCAGCCCAGCACAGAAGGACTTTGGTGTCCTGGTGAACGAGAAGGTGTACATGTGCCAGCAGTGTGCGCTTGCAGCCTGGAAGGCCAACTGTGTTCTGGGCTGCATTAAGAAAGGGATGGCCAGCAAGAAGAGGAAGGTGATTGTCCCCCTCCACTCAGCTCTTGTGAGGTCTCATCTGCAGTACTGCGTCCCAGGTCTGGGGCCCCCGGTACAGGAAGGATGTGGAGCTCTTGGAGCGGGCCCAGAGGAGGGCCACTAAGATGATCAGGGGGCTGGAGCACCTCTCCTATAAGGAAAGGTTGAGGGAACTGGGCTTGGTTAGCTTGGAGAAGAGAAGGCTCTGGGGAGACCTCATTGTGGCCTTTCAATAAATGAAGGGAGTGTATGAACAGGAGGGGGTACGACTGATTATGAGGGTGGATAGCGATAAGACAAGGGGGAATGGTTTACAACTAAAAGACAGGGGAGGTTTAGGTTAGATATTGGGAGGATGTTTTTCACTCCGAGGGTGATGACACACTGGAACAGGTTGCCCAGAGAGTTTGTGAGTGCTCCATCCCTGGAGTCATTCAAGGTCAGGCTGGATATAGCTCTGGGCAGCAGAGTTTTGTGGTTGGTGACCCTGCACATAGCAGGGAGGTGGAAATTAGATGATCTCTGAGGGACTTTTCAACCCAGGCCTCCTAAGATCCCATGAATCTATGATCTTCAATATCTTAAGGGGGCAGAAGGGATGCAGAAATTCAAAACCTGTCACCTGGAGCCATGGACGTGCTGCAAAGCAGAGGCATGCTGGGCCAGATGTGGCCTTTGCACCAGTGGAGACTGTGAAAAACCCACACTGAGCTGGCAAGCAGGAGATGGCCTTAAGCATGGCCCTACCATCGCTATGTCCAACACAACCACAGTTCCATTACTGCATAGCAGCTGGTGCTGGGGTTCTTCCTCCGAAAATGGAGGAGAAGGGAGACTCTGCACTGATTCCTGGTGACTCAGCCCTTGGAGATGGTTGCTAGCACTCAGCAGGGATAGAGCACAACCTATGCAAATCTGCAACAGGCCAGGTGCAGGGTGATAAGGTGCATGACGAGAGTCACAGTGCCATGGAACTGAGGGATTCTGGCAGCTGGAGGGACTGAGGAAACATCTCCAGCCCTGCATGACTTCTACAAACTGACCCGCAAGTGCTCACCCTGTCCAGGGTCTGAGAATGCCCCAACCACAGCACAGTCCTGAAACACCATGGCAGCCACAAAAGGCCGTACGACACATGTCACGGGGCAAATGTCCCATTTTGATTTGAAAACACCTCCCACAATAATGTAGAGGCTGTGTGCAGCCCGTAATGCAGAAGCTGGAGGGCACATTGCGCATGGGTGGAGGACGGGCTCTTCTCCAAGGCTGGGGACAAGCCCTGCTCCTCATACTGAGTCCTCCAGCCCCCCAAACACACCACATCCCACCAGGCTCAGCAAGCCTCGGGCAGGTGGAACAGGGACAGCTTGCACTGCCAGGGCTATGGACATGCAAAATGAGCAACACCCGGTCTCCCTGGCGCTGGGGAGCCCAGCTCCGGGTCAAGCACTCCAGCTGTGGCCTCCTCAGAGCTGAGCAGAGGGGCAGGATAACCACCCTTCATCTACTGGCTGCACCTGGCCTCATGACACCATCCACCAAGGCAGCCTGGGCTGCTCGCTGCTTCAGCCAGGTGTCCAGCAGGACTCCTAGGTCCGCTCCAGCTGGCTAACCCCAGCTGTCATACGATACAGGGATGTTCCCCCCAGGTGCAGAAATTTGCCCTTTCCCACTCTGAAGCCCGTGGGGTCCATATCTGGGATACAACAAAGCCAGCAGTGTCATGGCACCAGGAAAAAAGGGAGAAAGCATCGAGGATGAGGAAGCAACAACGGCTGTGCCGTTGGCAACACCAACACGTATTTTTGCAGGTTTTTTTTCTAGTTTATTTGCATGGTGGAATTGGACACTGATGACAAGGGTCCACTGGGGCCGGCGTGTGTCCCAGCTGCTGCCCGGCCCCAGTCTCATCAGCTCGGCCGCTGTTCTATTGCTGCCGGCTGGGTGGCCTCTTCTTTGGTGATGTTGAGGCCTGGCAGTCGCTGGCCTTCCTCTTCGGGGCTCGCCGGGACTCCTGAGGAAGGCTGTGGCCAGAGGGCCCTGCCACAGGCTGCCCTGGCTCCTCATGGGGCACTGCCTGCTCCACGGTGACCTCCTGTGCCCCAGCAGCAGGGGTGACGTTGAGGCCCAGCAAGCGCTGAGCCTCCCTGCCGTACTTCTGCACGGTGAAGGCGATGAACTGCCTTACAAAGTTGCCTGTGTGGCCGTGCAGGTGGAGGTCCAGCCTCTCCATCAGGACGTCCTGCTCCAAGCCGACGAGGAGCAGGGCCGAGATGACGCTGTTGGCCAGCGCTTCTGCCTGTGGCTCCTCGGTGCCCAGGATGCGGCGCAGCTTCCGCTGCAGCCAGGAGCGCAGGGGCCGCAGCAGGGCCGGGTTCTCCCGGAAGATGGAAGCCCAGGTGTCACGGGAGAGGCCGCCCGCGGAACGCCTGGGCAC